TAGTACTTATACCCATGAATCAGTCATAAACTCTAGAAGCCCGCCCCATGACTGCATGAGGCTCTGGGGGGACCTCCAGACACAAACAGTAACAGAGGGTATTCCAAAAAGAGGGAATGTCTTTGAGGAGGTATAACTTGGAATGTCATTGTGAAGGGAATGCCAATGATGGGAGAAGATAAAGGTAGAAGAGGCTGCTGGGTATTATAACTTGAAGGTCTTGCATGCTATCCTTTGCAGTTTTGAATTTTTTTGGTAGCCATTAGCTTAAAGTAATAAAAACGATCGAAGCCAGGAGAATGAAAGGATGGAGTTTAGTTAACTCTCTCTGATAGCAGTCCGGAGTTTGGTCTGAAGAAAAGTGAATTTGGAGGTACAAATACTAAAGTGGGAAGGTTTCAAGATATTCAGGAGTGAGTTTTAATGTAGTAAACTTGTTTAACTGAATTGAGATAATATAATGAACAAAAGCATCACAGGAAGTGAAGAGGCAGTATCAGAAAGGTGGGCTGTAGTTGAAGATCTAGTGATGTGTTGACTATAGAAGGATGAGTAGGTTGGGTTTTGGCCTTGAAATACTGATACAGGCACTGAAAAGGAAAATAAAGTACAAGTAGGTTTGAAGTGTTAGGAGAGGTGAATTCTGTCTTGAGCATGTAGAGTTTGATATATTAGTGGTGCTTCTAGGTCATAATGACCAGTAGGCAATTGGATAGAGATGTGTTACTGTCCGTGGAGAGGTCAAGAGGAAAACTGTAGACTTGGGAATCACTAGCATGTAAGTGGTGAGTGTTGAGAACAAGCATGGGGAGTAAGAAGACAGCCAGTGGAAGAACTCGGGGAGGGAATATATTCTGAAAAGCAGATGCTGGCAAGAAATGGAGAAAGAAGTTGGTTAGACATAAGATGTTATGGGAGTATAAGCCAGTAGTTTCCTGCCTTTTTGTTTGTTTTGGTGGTCCTAGAGATTGAACCCAGGACCTTCACACTGAGTTACATCCCTAGCTCTTTTTTAGTTTTATTTTGAAAGAGGGTCTTGCTAAATTGCCCAGGCTGGGTTCAAACTTGCGATACTCCTGCTTCAGCTTCCCATAGTGCTGGGATCATGGGTGTGTGCCACTGTGCAAATTACCATTCCAGTGGGTGTGTTTTGTCCCAGACTGTAGCTATAGTCCCAGTCCCAAATTTCCAAATTCAACCAATGTGATTTCTGGTTTTGGACACTACTGACACTTATTCCTTCATTAAATTCTTCCAGTGAAATGCTATGTTTAAGTTAAATGTATAAAGTAAAAATCAAGCTGTTCTAGCCGCTTTGTTTGAAGCAAGGGTAGAGGACCAGTACTTCTCTCCACCGTTAATATCTGACAGCAACCTTGATTTTTCTTTGTTTTTCTCTTCATTGATATGTTTTAGATATACATAATGATAGTACTCATCATAGGGAATTTGTACCTGTTCATGATATATCTTGCTGCTGCTTTTTTCCCTGTTACCCTCCCTTCTTTTCAGTCCCTCCCCTCCTTATTTACAAAAGCTTTTTGCCTTTTTGTTTTTCCCTTTACCTTGATTTTCTTGATGATTCTTCAGGTACTTTTTCTGAACCTCTGGGGACCCACAGTCATAGTGTGAATACCACCAAGAAACAAACTAACTCTTTATAAATAATAAGCTAATGATAAAATGGCTTTCCCAAGTCACAGAATAAGTGGCAATGGTAGGATACAAATTACCATTTTAGTAGAAATATGTTTTGTTCAAGACTGTAGCTAAATGACTTCTAAGTTTTCAAAGCCAGTCAATATCATATGATTCTTGTTTTGGACACAGCTAATACCTACTGCTTAATAAAGTTTTTTCTTCAGTTTCTAAAAGAATCCTATCTCAAAATACAAATTAACAATGGGCTGAGAATGTAGCTCAATGCAAAGCCCCTGAGTTCAATCTCCAGTACCAGGAGGAAAATAGGAAATTGGAAAATTACTGGCCTAGAGGAGCCTTGAAAGCTGTTATTAATAGCTGGTGTTCAAAATTCTTGTACTAGGGCTGGGGATATGGTTCAGTGGGAGAATGCTTGCCTAGGTTGGTGCTGGGTTCTGTATTGCAGTTCCCAGTACTATAAGCAAATAAATGAACAAACTAAAACCCCCACACCAAACCAGAATTCTTGTACCAGGTGAAGATCTTAATGTGTGCTAACTTGCTCACAATTTAGTTTTTATTCAGAGGTCAAAATCAGTGTCTGAAAGTATGTAATGGTAATTTTCATTCTCATAAGGGATGGAAACCTAACTTCAAAACAATTCTATTTTGTTTCATACCTTGTTAAAATGCTTTTCATGTGTCTTATCAGGTTCGGATTCAGAAGATCTTTTGGAAGAACTGCTCTGCTGTTTGATGCAGTTAATCACTGATATTCCACTTTTGTAAGTTCTGGCTAAACTGAAATTTGTTTTATTTCCCGTATATATTAAAGATGATAATTGATCATGTTGAAGAGTTTGTGGATCAGTGTAGTACTTTAATGCATGCCTTTTAAGGATTATATATTTGGAATTCTTTTACCTCTTTTGCCTAATATGTAATCAGGATTTATGATCAAAGCAAGAATTTCATGTTAAGGAAGAAGAAATCATTTAGCAATATTAAGTATACAATAGACAGACAAATAGGTTAATCTCCTAATAAGAGGTCTTATAGCCCTCTGGAAACAAAGTTTAAGAGAGAAGCAATTTTAATCCAAGTGGTGTTTAGTAGACATAGCTAGTTGACCACTCAATATTTGTTCTTTTTTCCTGGCTTTCCTATTTTATTTCTGGCTTCTTTAACAGAGAATAGATTTCTATTTCCAGCCTTCTTTGAAAGTAGTTGTGGACTTTGGGATGTAGAGGCCCTCCAGAGATTTCTGGGTAGACCTTTCAAGCAGAGCCATCTCTCTTGTGTGATAGACAGCCCTGTTTTGGGCTGCCTGGAATGTGGGCAGGGACTTTTTAGGAGCATGGCCACCTTGATACCATGAGCAAAGCTTCTTACAGGAAAATCTGCTGAACTCTCCTTTCCCTGCTGGCACTGGGGATTGAACCCAGGGCCTTAGCACTGAGCTACATCGTCAACCATTTTTGTTTATTTAGCTAAGTTGCCCAAGGCTGGACTTGAACTTGTGATTCTCCTGCCTCAGCCTCCCAAAGTGCTGGGACTATAAGTGTATACTACCATGCCCAACTGAAAATTGTGCTTTGATGTCACTGAGCTGCTGAATCAAAGTTAGCAACTAGCAGTCCTCCTCCCTCGTCCTAGACTAATGTGACAAAAATACACCCATATTTGTTTATGCTACTGTCACTGCATTTATGTCACTGCTGGTTAATGCAATTTCTATGTGATTCAAAATGTCTAATTTGTTACTTGTAAGGCAGTGATTCTTAACCTTTTAAAAAATTGTTTTCCCTAACAAACATTGTTAGATATTTCTTTGATCATTGCCTTTCTCCACACTGAGTTCTCATCTTGTTTGTGTCTTTTGGAGGACCACAGACTATTCTAATATCTGTGAAGCTTTTCATTCCACAGAGAACCAGTTTGCATCTGTATTGAGACTGCATGTTAAAGAAATTATTTCTGAAATAAGAAAATAGATTTAAGGTTTACTATCCCCATATAAAGGTTTTCTTGGGGGATGTGGTCAGAAATGTGCTTTCCACCTCTGGCCCAAGAAAGGAGAGACAGACATTTGCAAGGACATGTGCTCTTGACTTCTGTTGTGTGTAACTGTAGCATCCAGAATTTTATTCAATTTAGAAGTGAGAAGCACAAAACCCTGTTGTTGTTTGCTGTGGTGATGTGCAGCTTAGATGGGGGAGCTGAGATAAGTGGGAGCCATCTGTTTCAGAAGGGTTTGGGGAGCAGCCTGCCACTGAAGTTGAGCTGTTGTGAACAGAACACAGATATTTTCATGTCCAACATCTTTCTAGGAGAACTGTGATTTGCTTGGGGTGGCAATGAGTGACCAGCTTCATTTTCAGACACCTTGACAACTCCATATGGCCATGTCACATAGTTTGGGTCAATGCAGTGAAGTGTGAGCAGAAATCATGAATTTGCATGCAGGTCCCCAGATTTTGCTGCTTGCCCTCTCATTCTTACTCTTCCATCCTGAAATGTGTCAGTGTTTGGGCCATTTTGAAACTATGAGTGTTATATGCAAAGATTAGTGTCCCAGACATGGGATTATTGATGATGTTTAGGAAACCATTGTGTTGCCCTAGGCCCCTTAATCTTTGGATTCTCTTAAAATAAGAACAACAAACACCTATGTTGATTAAGCCACTGTGGGACAGTTTCTATTTCATATGGTCAGATGACGGAAGGGGCATGAACCCATACATTGTTTGCTCTTTCTTTGTCACAGAATGTAGGATGCTCCGTGTGTTTTTTATTTAACTTTTAAAATTGAACATCTAATAATGTTTGTTCATTACCAAGTACCAAAGATTTAATATATATCCTAAAGGAGTGCGTTCCTTTTTTCCCTTTTTGTCCTTATTGATAAATTATTTTGATGAAGTTAAGGAGTCAGTCTGGATATAGTAAATGACTTTAGATAGTAAATAAGCTGTGAACACAGTGAATGGAGTGGCCACCTAGACATTCTTGAGGAGCAAGTGGGCAGTGTTGCAGTATATCAACCAGTTCATGTTTTAATGTGTTAATATTTTTTAAATGAACTGAAAATGCACAGACAACCAGATGTCTTGTGTTATGTACACTCAGGTTTAACCAGCTGCTGAAACAATTTATGATTTAATGTTCTTGGAACTCCATCCTACAAGAACGTTTGTCTTGGTTACAGTTTCCATGTGCAACCAAACTGCTCTTTAAATGTTTTGTCTACTATTACCGTAGTGGTATTACAAGTCAGCTTATAATTTAAGAGGAATATAATTATATGAAAACTGGGAATGCTCTCACACCTGTACCTCATCAGTTTCACTATAAACTTTTCACATTTAACATTGACATTCTGTACCTGTGCTGGATTAGCAGGTGAATAGCAAAAAATGTAATTTTTGTAGCTATGGCAAATAATTAAAAAACTACCTTAAATGTTTCCTCATGAGACTCTGTTAAATCATTCTATTTTTGAAAACAAAATGATTACTAGGGACAAACATACATGTATATGTGCATGAATATGAAAGGAGTAAGGTAAGGTACTTTCCTCAAGGGACTAATGTGGAGTATAATGGAAAGAACAGGGTAAAGTAGAGTTGAAAACCAAGAACTTAGAGTTTGTGAGACTGTTCGTTCTCACAGTGTCACTGCAAAGATCGAATGAGACCTGTGTGAGTAGATCTAGTGGTGGAGTGGGCAGCAGCAGACGCATTTATGCTGTATAGGCAAAATAGTATACTTATTTTCTGGGAACTGCTTGTGATGCTGTTTTATTGTGAAATAGAAGTTATTTTCCAGACTTGAATAGATCTCTTCCTTTGTATTTTCACTGGTGTTTTGTTTTGTTTTGTTTTGTTTTGTTTTGTTTTGTTTTGTTTTTAGACAGGGTCTCACTGTGCAGTTCAGGCTGGCCTTAAACTTATTTTGTAGCTCAGGCTGGCCTCAAACTCTCAGTGATCTTCCTGCCTCAGCCTCCCGGGTACTGGGATTACAGGTGTGTGCCACCACGTCTGGCGTTTCTACCTGGTTTTGTTGCTGTTGTTTTTGGCTGAACTGTTGTGTTAGCTGTGCATGATGGTGATGCTGTCAAGTACAGGTCTTGTTCCTTTTTCCTTGTACTGCCGTGGTACCTCGGTTCATCAACTCAGTTCTCTCCATAATTCTGGTCACAAACTGCACTGGATGAGAATTGAGTCAAATTTCTCTGTTAGGTCAACACTGAACCTAACCATTGAATTTGATTTGGTTCTTGTCTGACTTAGCTTGTGACCAGAATCATAGAAAGAATCAAGTTTGTGAAGTGTGCCTTTTTGTAAGACATACCTGACATATCACTGGTCTTGCTGTTTTGTCAGGAGGTTCTTACTATATTATACAGTGTGTAGTTAACAGAAACATAAAATATCAATAAAATGAAGTATTAAATTCTTAATATGTATTTGTATTTAGAATAAACATCAACATTGTAGCATCAACTGTGTACTTGCTTACAAAAACCTAAACAATAACAACAGAAATATATTCTTATGTGAGCTACAATGAAAATACCAATAGAACTCTACAACAAAAATAATCTTGCTTCAATTGCCATATCCAAGGCAGTCTTCATATATGACAGCTGCATGCTCTATGCATACATCTTGCTTACATTGACAGCACATATCCTTAGTTTTCCTTTTCTATGTGGCAGGCCGTTCTTGTTACCTCTCTTGTCTTCCTGTTTTGGCAGGAGCTTCCTACTGTATTGCACAACATGCACTTATCAGGGAAATAAGATGTCAGTAAAATATCATATATGTAATGAGTGCTTAGAATAGACATGAACATTTTCACATTAGCTGTTTACTTGCTTATAAAACTTAAAAGATAACATCAGAAATAAGAACAGAAGTCAGAAAGATAACATCAGAAATAAAAAATCAGAAGTATGAACTACAGTGTAAGCACAAACAAAAGTCTGTCACAGAAATAATCTTTGCTTCAACTGTCACACCCAAAGAAGTCTTCACACATGACAAATGCATGTTCCATACACAGGTATCACTTATGCTGACAGCACGTATATTTTGTTTTCCTGTGCTTTCTTGTTGGACACAGTTGACAGCTTTTGCTGTTGTCATGATAGGTCTTCATGGTGCTGCACCTGCCTGTTCCTCTGTCAGCTCACCAGTGTGCTCCGCAGTTTTTTGTGTAGTTCCTTGGGCAGAAACATTTTGTTTTTCCTCTGCTGTAAATGTTCTCTGTATGAGTTCCAGTCCCAATCCTCTAAGAAAATTTCTCTGTGATATTTTTAAGTAGCTAGTGACTACTGTTTTTCAGACATTATGGATTTCTTGATATTGTTAATTTTTTGAGGTATTAATCTTCAAAGTAAAATTAAAATTGCTTATCTTTCAGGAATCCTGTATGCTCATCAACATCTATTCCACCTTTAGTTTTGTTGTAGAAAGTTACCATCTCGGGCTGGGGATAGCTCAAGCAGCACAGCGCCTGCCCAGCAAGCACAAGGTCCTGAGTTCAATTCTGAGTACCAAAAAAAAAAAAAAAAAAAAAAGTTACCATCTCAGACTTGTTTTGTCCATATTTCCCTATCAGTATTTCCATCATTGTGCAATGTTGACATCAACAGTAGCAGTTTGTTTTTCTTTGTCATATATGAGCCCCATGTTATAGCTTTGTGAAACTGAAAGATTGTAATACACAATTCTCTGTTTTGAAATTGCAACATTTCATTTAGAATTTCTGCTTTGTTCAT